TACACCCCCTCCTCTCATCCTCCCTCTCTTATTTTTTTTTTTTCATTTCTCTCCACCGTACAATTTCCACTTGTTCTCCCATTCCTTTCTCCTCTATATGATTCCATTACATACTCGATCCCCTCTTCCTTTTTCCCATTCCTTTTCCTATGATTCCCATAATGTTCATTCTCCCTTGCATCATCTCCTTCTCTCTCTCCCTCTCTCCTTCTCCTTCTCCTTCTCCTTCTCCTTTTGCCTCTCCTTCTCCTTTTGCCTCTCCTTCTCCTTCTGCCTCTCCTTCTGCTTCTCCTTCTCCCTCTTCTTCTCCTTCTCCTTCTGCCTCTCCTTCTGCTTCTCCTTCTCCCTCTTCTTCTCCCTCTTCCTCTTCCTCTCCCTCTCCCTCCGATCCATGCCCCTTTCATCTCTTCTCCCATGCTTTCTGCTTCTTTTTCCTCGCTTTGGCGTCTGCTTGTTCCACCCCTTGTTCGCCACTCGTTCCCTCCCTCCCTCTCCCCCATCTTCTCCTTTGATCATCATCTTCCGTCTACCTTTGCCGTCCATGCCCTCGCTCGCTCCATCTCGCGCCTGAATTTGTGTTTTTTATTTTATTTTATATCATGTATATGGATCTTGTTGGACTTTCCCCGCTCGTCCCAGACGCGACCTGTTGCTGTTCACCTCTCCGCATCCTTCTTCTCCTGAAAGTCGGCTTTCCAAACCGAATTCCCTCTGCTCTTGTTGCTCTCTCAAGCGCACGTTGTTTCCCACGGGCCGTCGCCTCATCCTGCGCTGACTAACCCCCTCGTTCTATAACTTCCTCTCATGGTTGCCACATCTTCATCTTCCCCTCCGCCGCTTCTTGACGCTCCGTCATGCTGTACCGTCCTCACGCCTCCTGCTTCCCTTTCTCTCAAATGATTATAATATTATATCCTTGCACACGGTCCACAGTTTTGCTTCGTTCTGCGTCTGATCGTGTCGCTGTTGGCGGTTGCGCCCGACCCCACATGACTGATTTGATCCACCACCGACAGTAAAGCGCATCAAAAGCTCGCGCAGTTGGCTGTCATGTCGAATTCACAGCCGGCGACACAACAAGAAGCCAAAAACTTGACAAAAGCGAGCGGCGGGCTCTTCACCAACACCAAATGGCAGCTGAGCCGCTGGTCTCAAATTTCGGGGACACGTCAAAAACAAGCACACCTCGGTCTCTTCACGCGCTTACAGTACCCACTGTGGCGTCGCGGGTGGACGGCGACCATCCTGTCACATGCCAGCCCCACCTCAAAGCGGCCCAAACCAAAGCAAAAAAAAGCAAAAAAAAAAAAAAAAAAAACCGCCTTGGCTCCTTTACCAACACCAAATGGCAGCCAAGCGGCTGATCTCAAATTTCGGGGACACGTCAAAACAAGGAACACATCACGTCCTTGATGCACGTCCGGTGCTCACTGTGGAGTCCTCGTCCACCTGGGACCATCCTGTCACACAGCACTAGCGTCAGAATCATCTGGCGGTTCGCGCCCCAAAAATATCACGCTTGCCCTCCCATTTTGGCATGGATAGCATTTCCAAAAGCGGATCGCAGATCGACTCCCCACCTGCATGCGGGCTTTGTGCGGAATCTGAACAGGCTCCGCGGCTCCTGGGCCTGGCCAGCGCGTCCATCAGCGCACCAGCCGTCACGGCTCCTCACGGTCAAATCGAGGAGGAATTGTCTTGGCAGCCCAAAACACGACAAGATCAGGAAGATGATCCATCCACGACGGTCGCACGGCAATGTTGTTTGGCCACCCGTTCATCCCTGTCATCGCTTGCACCTCAACAGCGCTCGCCCCTGATGCCACAACGACGACAAACCGCACCATCATCATCAGGAGTGCGCCCGCCGTCCATGGTCCTGTTTCATCCTCTGTCTGTGCTTCATCGCGATGTTCAAAATTAAAAATTCAAGCAAAGCTTAAGGGAAGGAAGAGAGGCAAGAGGTTAATGAAGCAAAGATACGACTAGTTGAAGCCGATCATGGCCAGTCAAAGTAACAAGATGCAGTACATTCAGCACTTATTGAAGAAATCTCTAAAAGGATGACATTCTCTGTCTCTCTCTGTGTCTCTCTACAGCAAAGCAAAGCCAAGGGGTTAATGAAGCAAAGCTCCAAGTAGTTGAAGCAGATCTTGGCCAGTCAAACTAAGAAGATGCAGTACATTTAGCACTTATTGAAGCGATCTGACATTCTCTGTCTCTCTCTGTGTCTCTCTACAGCAAAGCAAAGCCAAGGGGTTAATGAAGCAAAGCTCCAAGTAGTTGAAGCAGTCATGGCCAGTCAAAGTAACAAGATGCAGTATATTCAGCACTTATTGAAGCGATCTCTAAAAGG